GTAGAAGCTGTGGATGATAATAGTGCCCTTCCAATAGAATTTAATTTCCTTTGCCTGCCAAAATCCCCTAACCAGTGATTAGGTCAGTTCAAGACTGGGAGTTAGGCCTCCTGAGACCTGAATCTTTTTCTTCTACTTGTTTTTCTTTGTCTTCTACTTTGTCATTACTCTCTTGGGGTAGTCCTTCAGGTGTCTGAACTGAAAGCCTCAGGTGGGATTCTGTCCTCCTTTGCCAGACATGAACGCCACAAGTTTTATTTCCCTATCCTCGTTGCTTCCCAATTTCACCAGCTCCAAAGACTGTCAGAGCTGTAGGACACCATTTTTTTCTCAGCAATTTCCCCTAGGGAAAAATGTGCTGAAGAAGGTCTAGCATACTTTATTACACTTCCTTCTTCTTTACTAATCCTCTGACTCTGGTGCTTTGGCTGATCATTGAAACTGTCAACCATATTTTTTTTATATTTATACAGGTTTTTTTAGTTGTTCTTAGCAGACTGAAAGCAGAAGTTTCCTTATCTGTAGTAAAGGAGAAAATTCTGTCCTTTATTCCATTTTTCAGTGGTTTCTGTAGGGATTACAACATTAAGCTTTAATTTATCACAGTCAACTTGGATTTAATACAGAACAGCCCATATAGAATAGTGTAGTTGAACCTCATATACTTACAATAATATATTCCTACTTAATCTCATCCTTTGAGTTACTGTTAGCCATATATGATACATCTATATATATATTAAAATCCAGCAATATAAGATAATAATTTTTGCTTTAAATACTTGGTTTTTCATTATGAGAAAATTAAAAATATTTAAATGTATGTTTTCCTTTGTAGGTCTAAGTTACCATCTGATATCGTTTCTCTTTATGTGGAGTTCTCTTACTATTTCTTATTAGTGTTGGTTATCTCTGTATTTTCCTTTATTTCACATTTATTTTTAAAGGATATTTTTCTCTTGATATAGAATTCTTGATTGCATTTTGTCTTTAAGCAATTTGGATATGCTGGTCTTATGTCTTCTGGCCTCTAATGTTTATGATGAGAAGCTAGCCACCATTCATACTGTGGTTCCCCATTTGTAACATGTTTATCTATGACATATATGCTTTATATTTATACTCTTTGGGATTTCTTGAACTCAGGTCTAAAAGGCTCTACATCATCACAACTATACTCACCTATAATTTTTTGTGTTATATTAATTCTTACACATAACAGTGTGAATGTCCAAGCCAAAATACTTATACATGCAGACACAGTCATCAGTCAAAAAAATCTATAAATTCACAAATTGCACTGTAAACATGCTTCCCTTTTGACAAAATGGTTTAAGCATATTGAACTGAAGCCTATGGCAAGTTAATTTTTAAAAAATTAAATCTATCAAATATGCTTTCTACAGAGTTATCATGAAGCTAATAAATTCAAACTAAGTTTTCTTTTCATACAGAAAACCCTGACTTGTATGAGCTTCACTTCACAAAACCTTGACCTGTCCCCTGCTTTTTACCTGAAATGAAACATAAATGTAGCACTTTCTATATGAAACAAAAAGGATCTGCTCGCTTGCTTTTGTTTGCTTGTTTGACCACCTTGTGATAAACAGCGGACAGGCTATCAGGAGCACAGAAACAACCTGAGCATTAGGAACATGGTGTTTGGCAGTAGGCACGTTAACAGACTTCTTGTTCTCACCAAAACATGAATTGGGCCCTTCTACACAAGTCTAGCAGTTTTTATAGTTTCAAAAATAAGTGTAAATTAAGTCTCAATGCATAGTGCTCTGCTCTATTAAAGTGTAACTTTTTCCTCAGGACCTATATAGTAATTGGCTATGATAAGCATGATGAAGCCATTTTCACCTCAGCCTGGGTGAAAACACAATTATGCAATCTGTGTGTTTTGGATTCAGAGTCCTGGTAAAGTTCAAAACCAAGTTAGAAAAATGGCACCTCTATAAAGAAGAGCAACTGATGGGGAATCTGAGCTATCATCTTGGCTGTACCAAGCAGGGGATTTTAAGACTACACACATGTACAAAAAACAATCGAAGAAACCACATATTAAAAATAGTTTTATTAAGTATCTAGTTCAGGAAAACTTTATAGTTCAAGTACAAGAAAACTTCTTACTCTTGAAGCTAACACTGGAAACCAGTTTCACAAAAAGGGCATTCTTCCTGCAGGTATTAAAGACCTCTCGCAACTATTATGAAGTAAAAACTTTGTTTGAACTTTATTGATATTACATTCAATGTTTTTCACTTGAACATTTCCAATTTTATAAACTAAGTTAAGCCATTTAATAATACAAATGCCAAGATGCTATACAAAACATTCATAGTTAAAATAACTTTAATTATTCCCAAATATTTCCTACATAATTTAATATACCACAGAAAAATACAATATATTTTTCCTTTTTCTTTCAAGTCTTCCTACAAAGCTAAATGAGTAGACACCATCAAGTTTTTGGTTTCGTAGTTAGAAGTGAAAAATCAAAAGAATTTGTTTTTTTAGCTTGGCTTCATTGTCAAGTATTATTAGGCCCAGTGTTAAATAATAGTAAGATTTTTTTCTAAAATCTTTTTAGAAATCTATTTCACATATAGTCCTCCTACAGAGGACTGTAGCAAATCCTATGCCTCCTGTATCAGAAGTCCTGTAATACTAATGATCCCAACTATTGGATCTTTCTAAAGGCTCATCAACTATGATTAAACCTCCTAAGTCATGATGCAATTGTTTGATTCAAATAATGCTTTACCGGTAATAGATCCACCCAATCCTTTGGAACAGTTACTTGTATTGTAATATTGTAATAACAGGTCCATCCAAATCACAGTATAAGCCATGATCCCATACTTAAAAATAATCATACCCAGAACCACCCTGTGGTTCCTTCCCTGACGACTTATGCATGTGCCCCAGCCATGAAACCAGCTCAGGAAATGAAATGGACTCTGGCACCTGCAGTATGAAGGTGATAAGGCCCACATGGCATTGGTGACCTGGCTTTTAGTTACCATTCATTCTCCCCTCTTTCTCATCAGAATTAATATACCCCAGTCATACCTATCTGATGTTACTTGAACACATTCTACATTCTCATTCATTTTTCTAGAAAGCTCACCACCCTTATCTCAAGAAACTTTGCTAATTTTTCCCACCAAGGAACACCCACTACTTCCAACTTAAGTCATACTGTATATTCTAATACTTGCTTAAGTGTTTTATTTTTGTTTTTTAGACAGTGTCTCCCTCACTTAACTGTGAGCTCCCTGAATGCAAACTTCAGGTTTGAATGCTTATAATCACATAGCATAGCACAATGAAATAAGTGTTCATGTCTTTACTACCCTCATCTTTTATTTCAGTCATGTACTATACACTGTGCTTTCAGTTGGTAATTCAAGTTGAGCAAAAAAGACAGGGACCCTTTGCTCAAGGAGCTTAATGTCCACAAGAGAAACTGATCATCTTTTTTGCCATATAATTTGTTTTATTGTAGAAAACTAAATATATTTGCCAAGCTTAAGATGGGATTTTTAAAGCAGTAGAAAGTGCTAATTAACATCCACTTGGCATAGTTTGACCAGAAAGCAATCAAATGATAATCATAATGAATACATAATTATAACTTGAGACACACACACACACATATACACATATACACACACACATATGTACACACACAACCCTGTCACCAGCCTGAGTCAGGGAGGAGAGGTAATCAAATAATAATGCTTATCTACAGAAGAAGTGCTTGACTTGCCTCTGAAGGAGAGTAAGTGGAAATGAGGCTGAGGAGAAACAAAGGCCAGAATATGAGTGATTTTTGTAGGGCTATAATAAGGACTCAGTTTTTTATCCTAAGAGCAGCAATTAGGCACTGAAGGTTTTAAAGAAGATAAATTAAATGATATTATCAGACTTGATCTATAAAGAGGTTCAGGCTATAGTTTAGAAAATGAATTAAAGAGAAAAATATTTACTAAATTAACAGTAAGTGAACTAACATGCTTAGCTAATTCTTGAATGTCCATTTTAACCCAATTTAATTGAAATCTGAGTTTTAATAACAAATTATCATATAGCACTGAGCAGCTGAAATATAAAATGAGGCATATATGTAATTTCAAATTTTCAAATAGCCATATTTTAAAAAGTAAAAAGAAACAGGTAAAATTGATTTCAGTAATATATATAACATAATATATGTAAAATACTATCATTTCAACAAGTAATTAATCTAAAAATATTAATGAGTTATCTTACATTCTTTTTTGTACTCTCTGTGTATTTTATTTTTGGAGTATATGTCAATTCAAATTTCCACATTTCAAGTGCTCAGTAGCCAAACTGCCTCTTCTTGTAAGGACATCATCCAAATTGGATTACTGCCCATTCTAATGGTCTCATTTTAACCTAATCACTTTATCTAGGCCAAATATAGGCCTAATGTAGTCAAATATGCCAAATATAATCAAATTATGATGTGCTGGGACTTAGGGCTTCAACGTACGAATTTTAGAGGATACAATGCTGACTGTAATAGCCAGAGAATTCAACTACTTGGCTACTCACAACATGACAGTTTACATCCTCCAAAACGAGTGATCTAGGATAAAGAACAAATGTACAAGTACCAATGTATAGTCCTTTTTTCAAACCTAATCTCATGTTGCTATAGTTTGGATCTGGAATATCTCCCAATGGCTCAAGTGTTAAAGGCTTTGTCCTCATCTTGGTATAAGTGGAAGGAGGTTGAAACTTTTAAGAGATGGGATCTGGTGAAAATTTTAGGTCAGTGGGCGTATGTCTTTGAAGTGGACAGTGGGACACTGGACTCTTTCTCTGTCTCTCTCACTTCCTGGCCCTATGAGGTGAGCAGCTTCCTCCATTGTGCTGTCCCACCATGATGTACTGCCTTGCCACAGGCCCAAAAGCAATGCCATAAATAACTTAATACTTTGTTCTTGCTATCAGTAACACCGATGAATCCTGAAAATAATGTAGGAGCATTCTACTTATTCGTATTACTATAGGGCAGGATCATTGGAGAACATTTTGGCAGCTTTCTAACACAGATTTGTATCCATCAATAATACATGGAGAACTACAATTTGGCAATAAAAGACATGTAAGTCCATTAAAATGGGCAAAATAGTTAATAAACATTTCATTGAAAGAAATATATAAATTTCTTTCATATATACAAGATCCTTAACATTAGTCATTAAGGAAATGTAAACTGAATTGACAATGAGATAGCACTTCACACCCATCATCAAAAAACTGACAATACCAAGCTGTGCATGGTGTGGCATATCTATAATCCTAGCACTCTGGAAGTTGAGGCAGGACGATTGTGAGTTCGAGGCCACCCTGGGCTACATAGCAAGTTCCAGGCTAGACTGGGTAACATAGTGAGACTTTGTCTCAAAAACAAAAATGAAAACTAAAGCTGACAATAACAAATGTTGGCAAGGATGTAAAACTGGAACCCTCACCCAGTGAGGATGTAAAATGGTATAGCTACTTTGGAAAACAATTGGACCATTTCTTAAAAATTATACAAACTTAACATATGGCCCAGCAATTCCACTCCTAGATATGCTCAAGGGAAACAAAACAAATGTCCACACAAAAACTAATATATGAATGTGAAAGCAAAATTATTCATAATAGCCCAATTAGAAACAAATGCCCATCAGCTAGTAGATGAATGAACAAATGTGGAATGTTCAGATAATGGAAAATTATTTATCAACAAAAAGGAAAAAACCTTACTAATACGTGCTGCAACACATATTCTTCCTGTCATTTAATCTCTTTTCTTAGTGTAAAGATGTAATCTAGTCTGAAAATCATTCAAGTTCTCTGATGCCAAAAGCAACAGCATCCTAAAAGTATCTCTGAAACTGTCCACCTGATTCTTCTAGAGGTTTCTTCCTCACAATCCATAAGTGGACTTTACTCAACTACCAAACTTACTTTAATGCTCCTTGCAGTGCTACTCAATCAGTTGTGCCCCAACTAGGGTTTCAAAATTATCTGGGATCTGGGATGCAGTTTGGTGTGTTCAGCGTGCCCAGTGCCCTGGGCTCATCCTGAGCACCACAAACAAAAAACACAAGTTACCTCTCTTCTTCATTCTGCTCACCCATTCAAAATTCCCATTCCTTAATCAACGTGTGAATGTAACAGGACTTGAGGGGGCAGCACCAAGAAGCCTACAGCTAAGTCATTTCTTTGAAGTCTCCCCATGACATTGTGTGAAAATTAGGAAAAAGTGCCTGAAGTCCAGTATGTAATAATTTTTTAGAAGCGCTTGAAAGGAATGCAAGAGTTGTTTCGGTTTTATTTTTATTTATTTATTTACTTCAGTGTGTGTATTTAAATCTCTTCCTAGGCATAGAACTCTTGTCCCAGTCTTGACATATTTAAGGATTTATGTTCCTAGAGAATACTGTAGGGGGCTGGGAATGGGGAATAGGCTGGTGTTACTGATTGCCTGTAATGACAGCACCTGCTCGCTGATCCCCACTCAGGAGTCCATGTCATTTTCTCAGTAACACTGATATTTGCAATACCATCGTCCCTAAAGTAGAGGTTTGGAGAGACACAACATCGGGTGTGTCCTCGGTTTTCATACAATGATAGGCCTCATCCTTAATACAGATTAGGGTGGGTCTTCCCATTTCAAGAATGTAAGAGTTCAGCTCCCCCCACTCTTTACTTACACCGACCTTGCAGTCAAAGAAACCTCGTCTGAGAAAGGGTGTGGCGAACCCGCCCGGAGGCGGGAGTCGAAGTGGGCGTGACCTCACACGCGTCTCTCCCAGGACGGGACTGACTGCCGCAGAGCCGTAAAGAGCTCTACAGGTCGTGAAGTGTCGTGACACGGAAGCGTGGCTTTGCAACGGCCCGGCTGATCAGGCCAGGCAGGCGTGCGCGACTTGAGCAGTGTGTGGTGCTGCTTATTTTATGTATCCGCGCGGTGCAGCTCCGTGGAAGGACAGAGTGGCAGCGTAGGTCTAGGATCGTGCTGCTGAAAACGAAGGGGCCTCCGGAGGGACTCTCCAGAGGATGGCTGAAGGGGCGCGGCTGTATACGGAGGCCGGCGGTGGAGAGGAGAGGACTGGACTAACAGGAATGAAGAAGACAGAAGATGCAGAGGGAGGAAGCGGACAGCGGGCAGAGAAGATAAGAATGGACATAACGGTGGTGAAGCAAGAAGTTATGGAATGGTCGGATGTAGAAGGCACGTTGGACAGCCAGTGGATAAAGCAGGAGGTGGAGGATGAGAAAGGAGGCATGTTGGAGGTGAAGCAGGAAGTGGACAGTATGGTGTTTAAAGAAGAGAAGGTGGATGAACCAGAGGTAAAGGAAGAGAAAGTGAAGGTGAAGGAAGAGGTCATGGACTGGCCAGAAGTGAAGGAGGAGGAGAACTTGGAGATAAAACAGGAGGAGATGTTTGTTGGTCAGAGCATAAAGAAGGAGCAGATGGTGGATGGAGTGCATGTAAAAGAAGAAAAGGATTTCCCGAAGAGCGAGGTGATGGATGACACACAGGTGAAAGAGGAGCCTCCGATGAGTCCCCCAGTGGGCTGCAAGCGGAAACTGGCTATGTCCAGGTAGGACAGAGAGACACCTGATGTGGGGAGCAAAGCTGTGAAGTCCTTGTGTATAAGCGAGGGAAACTAAACTAGCAGCAGCAGGTGGAATAATGAAAAATAAGCACAAGTTTGGGTCCCTAGAGTCTGCGTTCCAGGGAGGGATGGAGGAGTGTGTGAAAATATGTCAAGTTGGTAGTGTCCTATGGGTAGTGATCAAATTCGGGAGTGAAAATGTTAGGATCCAGAGGCCCTATTGGAACCAGATCTGGCTAACTAATGTGCCCTTGACTCTGTTTTTTTGAGAGAGGATAGAGATGAGAAACAGCCTAATAAAATCAATGAGGAAAAAGGGATTGGAGTTAAAATTAGACATAAATGCATTTGCCTTTACATCTCAAGCTTCTCTATGATAGCTATGAATAGTTACTGCTTTTGATTCAGTTTCCTTGGTAGCTTGTTACAACATAGAAGATCACATTGTGGTCAGATTCTCTGGAATATTACTGTCCAGGACATGTAGATTGTCAGTATCCCAAGATCCTAGAAGAGCAGTTGAGGACAGATGATGAGTAATAGCATTTCCAGATTATTTTGATGCCCATTGTAGGTTAGGTGTGGTGTTGAGAAACAAAATGTTACTGCTGTTCTTTAAATTTGGGTCTCATACTGTGTTCTTTTCAAGTTTAATGTTATGTTTTCTTTCTCTTTTATTGATTTATTTTTGGCAGTACTGGGGGTTGAATTCATGCCTTGCACTTGCTAGGCAGGTGCTCCACCACGGGGGCCCCAAGCCCTAAATTTTAATACGTTTTCTTGAATTACATATTGCTAACAACATTGTAAATGTGGATGTCATTTGGATATGGTTCCATGTAATTTTCAGTGAAAGCTATCAATTATCAGAGTTGCTTGCACATATTTTATTCATTATTGCTACATGTCTATAATTTGTAGAAAGTGAATCAGCATTCAAAGTATATAAACAGATAAATAGAATTAATATTTGATAATTAGTTACATGTGGACTTTTGTAGGTGTGAAACTTGTGGTACAGAAGAAGCAAAGTACAGATGTCCACGTTGTATGCGATATTCCTGCAGGTACATATGTAATTTTCTACCTTATTATCTACAACTTTACCCTTCTTGTTTCAAAAGAGAAAAAATATTGCTTCTTTGTCTCTTCAGTTTGTCCTGTGTAAAGAAACACAAAGCAGAACTGACATGCAATGGAGTTCGGGATAAAACTGCTTATGTTTCAATACAGCAGTTTACTGAAATGAATCTCCTAAGTGGTAAGTCATTTTATGTACAGCAAATAAGTGCTTCCTGGCCATTGGTATATGCCACTTGGTTTATTTTTCTATTCTGACCTCTTTAGATTATCGATTTTTGGAAGATGTGGCAAGAACAGCAGACTATATTTCTAGAGATACTTTCTTGAAAAGACCAATAAGCAATAAACATGTAAGTATGTCTTCTAATCCCTTCTATTGCAATCCCTTCCCGTCAGTTAGGTTCAGTTTTTTTTCACTTACCAAATATTTTAAGCTGTCATCATGATCTGGAGCTATTCTAGTTACTAGTGATTTGGAAATGACCAAAACAAAATCTTAACCCTCATAGAGTAGGAAAGAGAAGAGATAAGTGGGCAAGACAAGAGATGTATAGAAGAAACAAATATAATTTCAGATTGAGTTCAGTGCATGTAGAAAACAAAGAAGGCACAGTAGTTTAAAGAGAATCAAAATGGTGTTTGATAGGGGAAGGTTTCAGGGCATTGTTTTCAATTCAGTGGTCAGAAGCGTCCCTGAGAGATGATATTTAAGCAGTGATCTTAATGATAGGAAAGAGACACTCCTGTGTACATGTGGAGAACAGTTTTTCCAAATAGAACAAAAGCAAAAGTAAAGACCTGAGTTAGGAACAAAATTGGTATATTTGAAGAATTAAGAGGGGAAAGGAACCGGGCACATATGGCTTGCATCTGTTTATCCTAGCTACTTGGAAGGCTGAGATTGGGAGGATCACAGTTTGAGGCCAGCCTGGACAAATAGAGACCCTATCTCCAAAATAACCAGAGCAAAAAGGACTGGAGGTATGGATCAAGTGGTAGGGTACCTGTGTTGCAGTGTGAAGCCCTGAGTTCAAACCCTAGTTCTACCAAAAATAAAAGGGTTAAGGTGACTGAAGCATAGTGAGTGAGGAAGAGAATGCTGAACATAATGTTAGAGAAATCAGTAAGGGTTCCCAGTGTGTTCCAAATAAACAGAAGCCAAGGAAGGGCTTGAGCATGTTCACTTTTTATAAAAGATCACCTTTGCTGCTTTGTTGATGTCAGGGAACAAGAGCAGAAGATTGGAAGCAGGGAGGACAATTGCAAGGCCATGCATGCTGTGGTCTATTTGAAAGATGTTGGTGTCTTGGCTCTGCTGTTAGAAATAATTAGAAAGTGAGTCAGGTGTCATGGCTCACACCTGTAATCCCAGTACTCAGAAGGTAGAGATAGGAGGATCATGGTTCAAGGTCAGCCTTCCCAAAGAATTAGCAAGGTACTCTTTCAACAAAACAAGCCAGGTGTGATGATGCAACAGGGGAAAAGGACAGCAAGGCAAAACCGTGAGACCCTATCTGAAAAAAAAAAAAAAAACAGGGTTTTTGCTGGGGCCGGGAACATGGCTCAAGTAGTAGGCAGGCACAAAGCCCTGAGTTCAAGCCCCATACCACCCAAAAAAAAAGAAATGAGATAATTGGAAACTGATTAGATATCAGCTTTGAAGGAAGAGCTTACAAGACTTACTGTTTTAATATACTTCATTTTCATATTCTTGTATACCTTTTTCATTCCTTACGCATTATGAAAAATTAAATCTCATATTTGAAATATTTTACAACTGGAATTATTCTACAAATTCATCAATATTGTGATCAGATCACATCACAGAATTGTGATATGTTCACTTGGAGTCACAGAATTTTAATACTTTTTAATCTCATTTTATTGGCGTTATTGGTACAGATATGACATTACACATCAGAAAGGATGTTGTCATGTATCAAGTCTTATTTTTCCTGAGGCTAAATTAAGCATAATTAAAATTCTAGTTAAACAGAAACTTCTTTTTTATTATAAAAATGTAAAATTATTCTTTTTTACAACATGCATGTAAAAAATTGTAGCATACAAATATAGTGTAATGACTAATTATATAGTGACTATCTATGTAACTACCACCCAGGTCTAGAATTGGAACATTTCCAGCTTCACAGAAATACTTCGCCACCCTCTTGTGCCATAATCTATTCTCATTTCTATAGTTTTCTATTTTAGGATCATGCCATAGTTTTTCTATTCTGTTGTTCATGGACTTTGGGTATTGAATAATAATAAAAAATTTAGGAACAATATTACAATTTTACACATGAATTGTGGTTTGGGTATATGCATGTTTTTCTAGGGTTCTATACCTGGGAGTGGTATTGCTTTGTTATGTTGTATTCATAGCTTCACTTTGACTAGATGTTACCAGAACTTTTTCTAAAATGGTTATACCAGCTTTCATTCTCAACAGTTACATATAAATGTAGCTATTGTCAATCTGATGGTGATGGCTGTGTAATTTTATTGACTTTTTGTTTTGTTCTGTTTGTTTTTCCCCTTTGAGCCTCATGCTTAGGGGCAGGCACTCTACCCATAAGCCATACTCCTAGCCCATTTTATTGGGTTTTACTTTTGCAATTCACTGATTTCCTGGTAAGATTAAACATCTTTTTATTTGACATTAGAATTAGAAGTACCTGATTAACCTTTTATTCTTCTTTTCTTTGGTCAACATTCTTAGTCACTTCTAAGAATTACTTGTATTTCATAGATGCTCGTCCATAGTTAATTATATTATATATATATATATTTCCCTGTAAATATCCCATAAGCTTTTTTTTTAATCTTTTATTATTTGAGTGCATGGGTAAATTATATGGGAGTTCCCTAATTTCCAAAGTTTTGGGGATTTTCTAGATAGACCTTATTTTTAGCTAATTGCATTGTGGCTGGAGAACATGCTCTGAATTCATTGTTTTTTGTTTTTTCTTCTTTTTTTGGTGTTGGGATCAAACCCAAGGCTTTGCTTATGCCTCATGCATGCTAAGCACATGTTTTACCACTAAGCTTTAAGGATAAATGATTAGATGCATACATTAGGAATTATTTCTTCTTGCTGTAGTTAACCTTTGGCATTGTGAAGCTACTTCTTTGTCTCTAGGTTTTTGAACTTTGTCCAGTATTACTAAACAGTGTCAGTCTTCGGCATGATATTTGCATGGTATATCTCTTCCTTTTACTTTGCACCTTTCTCTTTTTAGGTTTCGATATGTCTTTTGTGTCACATTTATGTTCCAGTTCTTATGCCTTAATCGTGTCCCCTAATTTGTGCAATTTGCTTTGTTCCTTTTCTTTATGAATGAACTGAAAATTTTTTTCTTTTTAAGTTTTTCTCTTGATCAGCTGAGAATTTATGGGCCCATTTGTATCCTCTCATTGGTTATGCTAGTGAAATTGCAGCATGGCTACTTGAAAGTTCATCAGTACCATAACCCTGTACCTAGAAAACATCAGGATCTTAGAAGGGGAGTTGGTGAACTTTTGTAAAAGATCAGATAGAAAATTGTTTTTACTTTTCAGGCTATATGGTTTCTGTCAAAACTACTTAATTCTTGCTTCTGCAGCAAAAAAGGAGCCATAATAGTATATAAACAATTGAGGCTGGCCTACATTCCAATAAAACCTTACAAAAGAAGGCATCAGGCTAGATTTGCTCCTAGTACATGTAAGTTATCCTAGGACACAAATTCTACTAACCCCCTTACTGGTTTGTTTTATTGTGTTTAGATATATAAATTACTTTTTTTTGTACTGTTTTTTCATTAAAATTTTGCTTGTGAGTATTTCTTAAAGACAGGTACTAACAGGTCTTCTTTTTAGAAATGATTTGTTTTATTTTACCAGGTATCTAGAAACAATTACAAATTTGGACCTATCTTAAGCAAAATAAAAGATTTACGATTTATTTCCTTGACAAAGCAAGCAGTGCAAATCAGATAAATCTGAGAAAGGGCTGGCCCATGGCCACAATTTTTAATAGAATCTTTTGTGTGTTTTTCCCATTCCATTCAGATAGTACAAATGTCATAGCACACTTGATAATATAATAAATATAAACTCTGAGGGTAGAGTTTATATTTCTGGTTCACCCTTATCCTGAGGGTGTATTATTCTGTGAATCCTAGCAGATTATTGGGTATTGTTCTGATCCTCTTGCTGAGGATCATATTGGAAAGAGAAACCTGTATTTGTCAGAATTGGCAAGGAAAATAGTATCAAGTTTGCTGACGTTGCTTCATTGCTTTACTTAGTTCTCTGAGGTTTTACCTTTCATTAAATATTGGCATATTCTTGTTTTCTGCCATCTTCTAAATACTTTTAAACTGTTTAAGAAATACATTTCTATACACACAGAGATATTAGATAGGTAGGTAGGGAGAGAGAGAGGGAGAGATACAGATATGTCTCCCCATTATCTGACATTCTTAGGTGTTTTTAGAGGGAAGATTGGTCCATATAATCACTTGTATTTCTAAAACCAAAGTCCCCTAAGATACAAAATTATATGTATTTTCTTAAGTCATCTTCCTAGTTAGCCAGTGATTGTGGACCCTTCCTTTCCCCTGGCATATGACTTTATTGTTTAACTTTGCATAGCAAAGTTCTAAATCCTCATTCACTTAACCAAAAAAGTTCATTTATATCTGTCTTTTCTTTAGTGATTTTTTTTCTTACTAGATTTAATAGAAGCCTGATATTTCCTTTGCAATTCTGTGGAATTGCGTAGCTCATCCTTACCAACTCAGGTGGTTAGTGAAGTAACGTGTTAGAGCCGGGTGTTTTTATATTCCATTCTGTACTGCCCACAACAGTGGCTATTCTAATTAGGCTTGTACTAGATAGTGCTATGGTTCCTCCCTTGAGTGAGCTACCTTTGTAGTAATAAAATCAGGTGTGTCTAAGTATGATGCAAAATCATCACTAAAAGAAAAATAGGAAATTCTTCCTTGGATTATAGAACATATGGTTAAAAGCAGTTTCTGAAATTGCACAGACCTGTGTTTGAATATAAGTTCTGCTTCTCCTCTGAGATAGCTGTAGAATGTGGAAATTTCATTAATTCTTATTGCTCAAATTAGGGTAATAATAACACCTACCTCATAATGTTGTAAAGATTGGATGACATTCTGCTGAGAGCTGTTTGGAAAAATAAGTACTCAGTAAAATTTAAGTATTATTGAACATAATTTTCTTCTGTGATGCATTTTAAAATTAATTTGTCTGTTTGGTTTTGTTGTTAGATGTACTTTATGAAAAATCGTGCCCGAAAGCAAGGTATTAACTTAAAACTGCTACCCAATGGATTCACCAAGAGGAAAGAGAATTCAACATATTTTGATAAAAGGTAGGTTTCTTACTTTAGTATATCAGGTGTTCCAATAATGGGAACATCCTTTAAGGTTTGGTTTGCTATGGTGTTGCTACCCAAAATATAATCTGTAAACTGTTACTGGATGTCAAGATAACCAGTAACTGCATATCATATGACTAATGAAAATTTGGGCATGCAAAGTAGATGTTTTCTTGATAACCTTTCAGAAGCTTCTCAAATGTTAGTGTGCATAACAAATAACTTCAGCATCTTATTGAGTAATGTGTTATTGTGATTCAATTTCAGTAGACCTGGGTAGGAGTTTAATATTGTACATTTTTAATAGCCTTCCAACAATGCTAGTTGTTTGACATGAGCAATAAACTGAAGCAATTTTCTACATTGAAATTCTGAATAAGAGTTCACTTAAAAGCTGACTACAAGGAAGGAGACTTTGAAAACATTTACTCTAATAATGAATCTTTGAGTACAGATAATACCAGAGATGCTCTTTGAAAGTGTTGGGTTGGACAGGCCCAAAGAGTCTAGAGGAGAATAGGACTCCAGAGTACAGTCAGCCCTCTATATGTGTACATTCCTTATCTGCAGATTCAACCACTCAAAGATCAGAAATAGCAGGAGGAAGAAAAACCCTGTGTTTGTACTGAACATATGCAGACTTTCTTCCTTGTCATTACCCCCTAAGCAATTCAGTATAGCAACTATTTACATAACATTTATATTGTACTAGATAGCGTAAGTTACTGAAAATTGACTTAAAGTGAATGGGAGGATGTGCATAGATTCTATGCAAATACACACCATTTTATAAGAGACTTGAGCATCCACAGATTATAGTATCTGAGAGGGGTCCTGGAACCAATCCTTTGTGGTTACCAAGGGATGACTGAACTCTAATTAGCTAACAAAATTTATTGGGTAAAGTCATTCAAGGTTCTGGATATAAAGTAAAAAAAAATCTGAGGAAGTTTTTCCCTATTCAGCCCCATAGCGACTGTGGGGGCCTTGAACAAATCACTTCCTTTCTCTGAGCTTCCTTTTGTTGTTGTTATTATTGTTTGTTTGGTTGGTTTTTGTTTGGGTCTTACTATGTAATACAGGCAGGCCTTAAAACTTGTAATCCATTTGTCTCTGCCTCACAAGTGCTAGGTTTAAGCATGAACCATGACACCCAGCTTTTTAAAATTAAGGCAGGATCTCACTATGTTGCCCAGGGTGGTCTCAAACTCCTGGGCTCAACTGATCTTTCTGTCTCAGCTTCCCAAATAGCTAGGACTACTGGCATATACCACCATGTGCTCAGCCTCATCTTTATGATGTAGGGTTGGACTAGATAAACTCTAATGTCCCTTTGCAGTTGACTGTTCCATAAGTTGAAAAACAGAGTCATCAAGAATTCTCATTATCCTAATAAATCTACATCTTTTCAGAAGATGTTATAATTAACTTTTGGGGTTTTTCTGCTTTTGTTTTTGTTTTTTTTTTTTTTTTTGGTGGTATTGGGGTTTGAACTCATATCCTCACACTTGCTAGGCAGGCACTCTACCACTTGAGTCACTCCACCAGCCCAAAAGATGTTACAAAATTAGAAGATGATGTTATCCATTTACTGAATATGTTTCAAGACATAAATATTTGTAATTGATTTCCCTTTTTCCTGGTTGGCTTCCAAAATTAATGTAATCTTTGCATTCATCAAATATGAGATGATTCCTTTGTGTATTTTAAAGTTGACATATTTAGAAATTGACATAATTTGTTTAAGATTTATGGTAACTAGTCTGAGCCTTCTCAAATGTAATATGTATTCTGTTTTATGAAGGAATCCATCCAGAATTTTTGTTATTCAAGATGAGTTCTCACTACTAAAAAATGTATAGCTCCAAGTGTAACATTTTTTGTGTCTGGATGCATAAATAGGGAAGATCCATATGAAGAAAACTTAACTCTACCAAATGATTAAAATATCTGAATAAATGGGGAAAATGCTTTGTTCATGGGAGATTCAATATTGTGGAAATGATCCCAGTCTGATGTGATTGTGATGTGTAACAAATATCAATGGGATATTTGTTATTTTTTATCAAATTAATTAATTGAGAAGGAAGGGAGTTCATGATAAAATGAAGTTCATTTTGAAAGGTAATATGGGAGAAATGCCAGAAAAAACACAATAAGAGAGGCTAGGTTTGTTAAAATTTATGGAATTGTGGTAGTATTGACATAGACATCTATCATACGTGATCAAGACAGTACTTCTAAACAGTGCAAATAATTACTTATTCAGTAAGTAGGATTGAGACAGTTGGCTTGCCATTTCTGAGAAAAGCTAAATCTTTTATTAACATAACTTCCATGTGGATCAAAAATTTTAAATGAAATAAAAATACAAGGATATTTTCATAATCCTAGAGAGAAAAATTTTTCATTCAGAAGCAACAAGGGCCAAGCATGATGGTGAACAGCTACTCAGGAGGCAGAGACAGGAGGATCTTGAGTTTGAGACCATCCTGGGCAAAGTTAACAAGACCCTATCTCAAAAACAAAACAAAAACAAAAGGACTGATGATTATAACAAAATAAAGACAAAAGGGCTGTGGGTTCAATCACTAGTAATACCAAAAAAAAAAAAAAAAAAAGTCCAAAACCTGGACCAAAAAATCTTTAACACATGTGATAAAGTGTACATGTGCATTAATAAGAAAGAAACTTGTGACAATTAGGAAAAGGGGCAAAGGATTAGAGTAGGTCATCACAGGAAGCTATATATGCATATATATCATAAACATATGCACACATACACACAATACAGTTATCCCTCATTATCCATAAGCATTATTTCTAGGGCCTCCAATACCCAAATCTGTGTATATTCATTTGAATATAATCTATGTACATCCCCCATCTATTTTAAATCATATTTAGATTATTTACAATATTAATCCAATATAAGTGGCTATTATATTCTATTGTTAAGGACTAATAACCAAAAAAAAAGAAAGAAATCTCTACATGTTAAGCACAAATGTGGGGTGTTGGTGAGTTTTTTTTAATCATAAGTTAATTGAGCTCACAGATGCAGATCCTTTAGATAAGAATGCTGATTGTATATGGTTGATAAGCATGTAGTAGTAATATCTACTATAATGAAGGTGTAGCCAGGCCATTTTCCTCTTCCACCATTCTTCAGAGTATAAATTGGTATAGAGTCATTTTAGAAGGCAGTCTGGTAATATTACTTCCCAAAATGTTACACATCTTAAAATACTATACTCAAAGAATTTAGCCTACAAAAGTAATAGTAAAAGTTCACAGATATATATATATATATCTACATGTATATCTACTTTGGCATTTTTTCATAACGTAAAAACTACCAATAACCTGAAGTATCCTTCAGTATGGACTGAGTTAAAGAAATAAATGATGATATCTTCATACAGTGGGATAACCCAGTCCCCGTGAGTGTGTGGAACATTACCGTCATCCCAGATTTTTCCTAGTTAGTATCTCTGCTCTGTAGAGACAGCCTAACAACCTGTTCTAATTCCATTTCACCCCATCCTTCCTCCAAAGATTGTTTTGCCTGTTCTAAAGTTTCATATATGTGGAGTTATATAGCTCGCCGTTGCTTTATTTTTTTTGGGGGGGGTGGGGAGGTGTTGAGACAGGGTCTCAATGTATAGCCCAGGCTGACCTCAAACTGTGATCCTCTTGTCTCAGCCTCTCAAGTACTGGGGTTACAGGCTTGAGTCATCACACATAGCTTTATCCTTACATTGGAATGATAGTTCAGATGCATATGAAATGTCTTAAGTTGACACCTACTTTATTAGTTTGTTTGTTCCACTGTCTTATCATTTCTTTTGCCACTGTTGAGAATGCTGTTATTTTAGATAGTCTCTTTTTCTCTTTCAGCTGCTTTTAAGATCTTCACATTTGTCTTTGAAGTTCTGAGGTACCTTATGATAGTGTCTTGGTGTGATTTTTTAATTTATCTTCTTTGACATTTGTTGTGCTTTCTAAATATGACAATTCTGGAAAATCATAATGAATTATTGTAATCTCTTACTTCCTCACTTGTCTTTGCTCTAGTTTTGATAATTTCTTTAGTTATATTATTTAGTTATATTATCACTAAGAGAAAGAGTCACTTTCTCTTTGCATTTGTATGTGACTAATCTGATCTTTAGCCCATGTAGTATTGTCTATTTTTTAGTTATGGTTTTCATTTCCAGAAATTCTCTTTCTTCCCCAAGTTTATCTGGTCTTTTAGGTAGAAGTGTGGTTCTTTCTCATGTTTTAAGCTTCCTTTTTCTCTTCAGTAATTTAAAAGATTTATTATCTGTATAAATAATTCCAGTACCTGAAGTTCTTGGAAGTCTGATCTTGTTATCTGCTATTTTTATTGACTCTTGATTACAGTGGCTTGTTTCATTCCTAATGCTAATGTACAGTTGTGAATTCAAGTCCATCTGGGCTTTATGTGAGCTGACCTGGACTAGATACTCATTGGCACCAATCCAGGACCTTCTTTAATTTCTCAATGTGATATTTCTCAGACTACTAGTAGTAGTTGTTTGAACCCCTAATCCATTTGAGGAACCTATAGTTACACATTCTCAATTGAAACTTTTTTCTCTTCCTCCTCACTCCGTATCTCTTTACCTAGAGTACCAAGCAGAAGTCAAATTTCCTTATTGGCACCCTTTGCTAGTGGGTATAATTTTTCTGGTTCACCCTTCCACCCTTCCACTGTCTTCTATGATCTCAATTCATGGTCTCCAATTTATAAGGGCCCAAGACTTTGTCTTGTGTCATCTGGTGGATTTTGAAAGAAAAGCCTGTTGGCTGTCAGTGGCCTCAAGAGTAGGTGTAGCTTTAGCTTTTGACCATGGTTTTCAGTTCTTGTTTCCTTTCAACCCTTAGAGATTTCTCTTCCTTGCTGATGATATGTTTGTTATATTTGCTTAAGATTTATGAATATATTCTACTGGGAGATTTTTCAGATT